TTTTTTTTTTTTTTTTTTTTTTTTTGTCTTTTATAGAAAGAGAATATTATGATTTAATTGATATATATGAAGAAATTAATAAAAGAAAAAAAAAAAATAAAGATATTTCGAATAATAGTGAAATAGATTTAATAAATAATAATAATTTATTATATTATATAGAAAAGAATTTAGAATGTACCTGTAATGTTAAAGATATAAATCCTTCTGATATTTTTACAAGATATGAAGAAGAAAGAAAAAAGAAAGACAGAAATATATATAATAATAATACAAGTAAATATATAAATAGCGATTTATTAACTAACTATAGGTTTATAGAAAAAAATTTGTATGATATAATGAACTCTGTTTTATCCAATATAAATTTGTTTTTTAATCAAAATATTAATGACGTTGAAAAATTAAAAAACCAATATGATACCGTTATTAAAAATATTGATAAGTATGATGATTATTCAAATTTCACTAAGGAAAATGTAAAAGAAGAAATCTTTGAAAAAAAAAATGATTCTGACAAAAGTGATAAATATAGCAATGAAAACAACTCTAATGAAAAAATAGAAAAAGTGTTTAATAAAGATCAATTTTATAAAGGAAGTGATGAGATATTTAATGATAATATAAAAATTGAGAAAAATTTTGATAATAATAATATGAATAAAACAAATGAAGAAAAATTCAGTGAAAATGTTAGAAATGAAAAAAATGAGGAAAAAATTAATAAATATAAAAGTATCAAAAAAAAAGAAAGTAATTTTAGTAAGTTAAATACAAAAGAAAAAGAAACAACTGACATCAAAAAAGAAGAAAGTTTAAAATACAAAGAATATAAATTATTTAAAGTAATGTTGAAAAAAGAAAAAAAGGTAAACATTAAAAAGTTTGAAAAATTCAATTCAAATATAAACACACCAAAAACTAATGATTTTGAATATGAAGAAAGGAAATTTGAATCAGATTATGCAATTAACTATTTAAACTTAAAATATAAAAAGGAAGAACTAGAAAAATTACAAAATAAAAACTTAATATATTATTTAACAAATGATATATATCAAATTAATATATTTAAAAAAACATATTTTTATGATTTTTTTTTTATTTATTTATTCAGAAAATTATTTTGGAATATTCTAGCACTTTATAATTTATATTTAGAGAAATATAAAATGTACAATTATAATTTTTATGATGAAGATAAAAAAAAAAAAAAATACGACAACTTAATTATATATGAAAGTGATGTTAGCTTAAATAATTCAAAAAAAAATAAAAAATTTCTTTATAACACTAATGAGTTATTGTGTAATAATTTAACAAATTTATTTGAATTAATTAAAAAAGAAAAGTTACTTATATATCTAAGGTATGATGAAAATAAGAAAATTAAAATTAAAAACAAAACAGAATATATATATAGGGATATTTGGATATATTTAATTTTAACCGCGTTAAAAAAGAATTTAAAAAATTTTAATTTTAATAAATTCATACATTTTCAAGAACTTAAAGATATAAATTATTCTTGAAAATTATAAATTAAAATTTTAAGTTATTTTTTTTTTTTTTTCTTTTTATTTCTTTTCTTTTTTTTGTATTTTATTTTATTTAATATTTTTTTTTTTAACTCTATAAAATATTATATTTTATTTATCTATAAGCCATATAATAGACATTTTCTCTTATTTTCTACTGAAACAACATTTTTTTTTTTTTCGTTTGCTAATTTTTATTATTTTTATTATAAATATCTATCTTATTTATATTTATAAATATATGATTTGATTTTTTTTTTTCTTTAAATAGTTATTTATTTTACCTTATAATATATATTTAATTTCCTTTAATTTATATTGATGTTTTTATTTATTTATTTTTTCCTTAAATCTACAATATTAAAAATTATTTTTTTACAAATTTTAGAAAAAAAAAAATTTGAATATAAAAAAAAACCACTTACATCTCTCAAATAAAAAAAAAAAAAAAAATGTGCATACATTAAAACAAATTTTTCAAAAAAGAATATAAAAAAAAAAAAAAAAAAAATTATATAAAATAAAATATGAAAAAAAATTAATAAAAGTATAATTTATGTAAAAAATAGAATTTTTTTATTTATAAGAAATAAGTTTAAAAAAGTAATATTTGATATATTTTTTTTTGATTAAATAATTTTCAAAAGTAAGTATTTTTAATACTTAAAAAAAAAAAAAAAAAAAAACAACAAATAAAAAAGAGAAAAAAGTCAGAGAAATATTAAGAAATATTAAAAAAGAAAGTTTTTTTCTGTTTTTTTAATGATAAATTTATTTATTTTTTTTTTTTTTCTTTAGTGCCACCAAAAGAAAGAAAAACAAAAGAACAAATTGCAGCAGCAGCAGCAGCATCAGGAAGAACTAAGAAAAAGGTATACATAGAAATATAAAATAACATATAAAAAGGAAAATTATATAAATTAAGAGATTTAAAAAAATATAATAATACATATATATTAAATCTTGTTTTTTTTCTTTTTTTTTTTTGTATGCTTTTAATTTAAATTGAATTTAAAAAAAATATTTTTTATATAGAAATGGGGAAAAGGAAAAAATAAAGAAAAATTAAATCATGCTGTTTTTATTGATAAAACTTTACATTCTAAAATATTAGAATGCAAAAATATGAAAGTTATTACTCCTTCAACTATATCAGAAAAATACAAAGTTAATTTAAGTGTAGCAAGAGCAGTTATTAAGTATTTAGCAGAAAAAAATTTAATTAATGAAGTTTGTACTCAAAGTCATAGCCAAAAATTATATACTAAAGTTGCTTAATATATGTAGTATAATAAATATATGTATATATATTTTTTTTTTTTTTTTTTCATTTCATTTTTCTTTTAATTTTTCGTTAATTGAAAATATTAACACTTGTGAAATTTAAGTAATGGATTAAAATAATAAAAAAAAAAAAACCTAAATACTACTATTATTTAGGGAAATTATATTTTAAATGCTATTAAGATTAAAGCAAATATCATATGTATTTTAAAGGTAAAGTATATTTATAATAAAATATACATATATATATTAAAGAAATATATCTAATTAAATGAAATAAAATGATGATAAAAAAAAAAAAAAGGTGAAGCAAAAATAAATAAAATGTAATAAAAGATTTCTTCTTATATTCATTTTATTTATTTTTGCAATAAGATGAACCTTATAATTTAGTCATAGTTACTCTGATTGTTTCATTTAATAAAAAAAAAAAAAAAAAATATGTAAAAATATTCATATATTTTTTATTACTAATAAAATTAGAAATACTAAAGTTAAAAAAATAAATTTAGAGGAAGATAATAAAGAAAAAAAAAAAAATAATAATAAATAAAAAAGAATCTTCAGTTATATATATATTATATACGAAACTAATAAATGTCATTCAAATACTTAAAAAACTATTATAGAGTCTTATAATTTAAATAAATTAATTATTATAATATTTTGTAAAGAAATGTAAAGAAGAAATAACATGAAGATATAAAAAAAAAAAAAAAAAATTATGATATAAAATAGTATATAATAAAAAAAAAAAAAAAGGCAATATACACATATTTAAGTACTACATATATATGAATTAAATATTTCCAAATAAAAATATACAAATCTCCATCCAACTTTCAGCATAATAAATAATCTTATTGTTTTCATCATAAATTTCATTTATTTGTTTCTCTCTTTCTTTTCTTATTGACATAAAACCTTCTTTCATATTTACATTTTCATTGTGTTTATTTTTTAATTTAAGAAACTCAATTTTTGCACCAGCTAATACAAGTGGTTTAATTAAAATGTTATGTTTTTCACAAAATTTAATAAAAATATTATTATTCCCTAATAAAATCGGTATGTCAACATTTAACATAATATCAATATCAAATAAGCTATCTCCAATGAAGCATGATAATTTATGATCTTTATTTTTAAGTAGTGAACATACTTTGTTCTTTATTAATGTTTTATCAAAAACAGAATTTAAACTTACTTTTTCTATTTTATTCTCATTTGAGTATTTATTATATTTTATTTTAAGTTGATTATTCTTATATTCTCCAGTATATTTTCTTTTTTTTTTATCATATATATATGATTTACAGTAATAAATATTGAAGTATTTTTTGAAGGAATTATAATAATCATTTGTTTTATTTTCATCATTATTATTAAATTGACTAGATAAGTTTTTATCATTTTTTTTTTTGTAATATTCTTCCTCTGTATATGTATTATTTATAGAGTTTAATTTTTGATTAAAATTTAATTTATCCAATTTAATCAATGTATTTTTAAGAAGAAATGAACATAGCTCTTTTTTAAAATTTAATGTAATTATATCAAAATAAAAATCTTGGGGATTTTTTTGTTTAAAACTAATCAAATTTAAAAATGTTTCCATAAAATAATCATTTAATTCTAATTCTTCATATGATTCATTAATAGTTTTGTTAATAATATCTATATTAACATCTTTAAAAATATCATAGTAGGATAACAAAAGAGATTCTTTCACAATAGAATCATTAATTATTTTAAGAAAATAATAATAGGAATCAGAAAATGCATCTGATATATTATTTTTCTCTTCTAATTGTTTTAAAAAATTTTTTTCTTTAAGAACAATCCACTGAGAAATTTTACATAAATAATCCATTCTTTCTTCAGGAGAAAATTCCTTTTTGTTTTTCATTTGTTCTACAGAAAAATTATCAAAAAAAGAAATATCATCTTGTGTTAATTTAACTTCTGTGTTTTTATAGTTATAGTACTTTTTTAATAGTTTAAAAAAAAAAAAGTAAGAATCTTTTTTGGTAATAGTTTTATCAAAATCAATACCTATAAAACAAAATTCATTTATACATTCTAAATAATGTTTTTTCTCCAAATAATTATCATTAAACATTTTTAAAAAATATTCCTTTTCTGAATGCCAGTTGTTTGTACTATTATCAATATTCTTATTTATATTATTATCCGTAATACTTTTACATATAGTTCCTATATTTTCATTGTTATTTATATTTTCCTTAATAGTATTATTTAGATATTTCTTAAAAAACATATCGTCTATATTGAATTTAGCTTCCTCAAAAAAGTAGTGATGTACTTCTTTATTATCTAAACAACTTTTATTTTCATCCTCTGAGTTTTGTTTTAAATCATTAATAACATTTTGCATTTTATTTGAATTATTATTAATATAGAATTTTTTTTCTTTTTCATTAATATATTTATCACAGAGATTTTTATCTTCTAAGGGGAGTTCAAGATATAAAGGGCATCTATCAAAGATACTATATATTTTCTTAAAAATATTAATTCTTATAAATTTAAACTTTTCATTATATATTAAATCATTATTGTTTTTTGAAAATATTTCCATGAAAAACATTCTTTGTAAAATAGTAGTATATTTCACAATATTAAAATCTTTTAAAATATCATTAAAGTTACAGTTGTTTTTTAATTTTTCTTTAGATATAAAATATAGAAGCATTTCATTTAATCTCATAAAATCACAATTAGAGTATTCATTAATATATTTATAATATAAAATAAAATTATCTTCATCATAATTTTTGTTTTCATCTTTTTTTTTTTTTATATAATTTTCTGCTTTCAAATTATTAAATGATAATGCACATGTATAATAAACATTTGAAAAAACATATATACATGAATAGACACCATATAATATATTTAAATAATTATAATTTTCATTTTTACATAAAAATTCAACTACAAAATAAATATATTTAATTAAATTATTGTGAGGAATATAATTTTCTTCGTCATATAATTGTACATTTTTATATGTTGCTTTTGTTCTTAAAAGGTTTAATTTTTCGTAAATTATAGACATTATTTCACTACATAACTTAATTAAATACATATTTAAATTTTCATTTTTTAACAAAATATATGAAAAAGTTTTTATATAACTATATAAGAAGTATAGGTCTGAATCTATGTATTTAAGAAAATTTTTTTTTTCTAGATAACTATAAGTTATTGAACGAATAAATCTATTGTGCAAACAAATATAATAATTTTTTTCACAATATTTTCTTATTAAATACATATGGAAAAAATTTATTAAGTTTTCATTTTTATCACTTACTGTATTATAATTCATAATAGTATTATAATAGCTGCTTTTATTGTAATTATTTATTAAATTATTGTAATAACTATGCTCAAAAATGGTTTTCTTTTTAATCTCATTATAAATCTTTTCTACATATCCAATAGAATTATTAAAATTTTTCGAATTCATATAATTTTCTTTATCATTTTTATTACTATGATTTAAAGCATCATTATATTTTTTCATATCCAACAAAAGTTTCACATCTTTTTCAAACTCTATTTCCCTATTTATTTTTATTTTTTCTATTAATAATTTTATATCTTTCATTTTTTTGTTATTTTTATTAATTAGTTAATTATTATATGTTCCTCAAATTAAAATATTAAATTAAGAATATATATATATATACACTTATCTTCTAATCAATATTATTTTTTTTTGAAACATAGAGTTTTTAAGTCTATTTACTTTTGTTATTTTACATATGGGAATACTTAAAATATTTAATAGAAACCAATTTTTATTTTTTATATTTTAATTGTTTAATATAAACAGTTTTTTCTAAAATAAAAAAAAAAAGTTTCCAAATTATGTGTTTAAAAATATCATGCATGTTTCTTATTTGTACATATTTTATGTTGATGAATCTTCAAATTTTAATAAAATATTTTAGAACAATAAAATTTACATTTTTTCAAAAAGGAATATTAATGTTTTAAAGAAAATGGTTTAAAGTATTTTTTTTTTTTTTTTAATTATTAGAAAAGAAAACAATATTTTCTTAAGTTAATATTTTAGATTTTTATCAAAGGGACAAAAATTATAAATCTACTAAAAGATTATATTTAAAATGATTTTTTTTTTTTTTTTTTTTTTTTTTTTTTCACATCTCATTTTTTTATTAAGTGAAATTTAATATAATATTGAAAAATTTATTATATTAAAAATAACAGAATGTATTAAATATTAGCTATCATATTAATAAATTTTTGTTGTACTAAAAAAAAAAAATAAAAAGTGTTTAAAATTTAATAATAATTTAAATTAAAATTTTTCTATGTTGCATAGCACATTTAAATAAAATACTGAGAAATAAAGTCAGATAATAACACTAATTTATAATTACATTTTTTATTTTTTTCATTTTTAAAAAAAATTTTTTTTTTTTTTTTTTTTTTTTTTTAGTATATCATGTTAGTATTTATTTAATTTTACTGTTATTTATTTTTTTATTTTTTTATTTTTCATTTTTTTTTTCTCTTAGTAACCAATGCTACTATAATAGACTTATATACATATTTTGTAAAAAATACAAATAAATAAAAAAAAATGTTTAAAGAGAATTAAGATTTTAAACTATTTCAAGTACAAAAAAACATATAATTTAATTTTACATGTTCTATATACAGAAATAAAAAATGTTAACCCTTTATTTTTATTAAAATTCTAAAGTAAAATACTCAAAAAAAAAAAAAAAAAAATTAAAATATTAATTTATAAATAACTTATACCCTTTGTAAATTATTGAAGAATTAAAGTAAAAAAAAAAATGTCAAAAACAACTATTGTATTTTATCAAATAATAAATGATAAAGAAGACAAAAATTCACAAAATGTTTTTTATATTTCTAAGCCAATAAATACAATTACATTAAATGATATCAAAAATGAATTTCCATTAATAGGAACATATCATTTCAGGTTTTTTTTTTTTTAAATCATTTAATATACATATAAGCTACTATACTGTGAAATAGAAGTTTAATAAAATTTTTATTTAATATATATATATATATATATATATATTTAAAAATTTTTTTATCTGATTAAATTTCATATATAATTTTAATTTAGATTTAAAATTCTTCTTAATAATACTCATGTGTGGGTAGATATTAATGATGATTCTTCTTCTATTCCTAGTTTGAATTCTTGCATATATGCAAAAGTAAATAAAAGATTTACATATATAACTTGAAATTTTTTTTGTTTTTTCTATATATATATATATATATTTTTTTTTAGCTATTCTATAAATTATATTAATATTTTTAATAGTTTTATATATAAAAAAAAAAAAAATAAATTACTTTGAATATTTATTATGTTCTTAATACCTTTTTATTTTATATTTTTTTCTTTTAATTTTCATTATTTATTATTTTTTTTTTTTGTTGTAAATATGTTTTTTATTTTTTTTCAAATATAGGTTTTAAGATTAAGTTGGTTAGATCATAAAAAGGAAAATAGTAATTTAAATGAAAAAATTTCTAATGAACAAAATATTGAAAAACAATGTGAAAGTAACAAAATAATTTCTGGATCAAAAGAAAAAAACACATATGATAATATTGAAGTTCAAAAATCAAAAAGTAGTATCGATATGCTTTTATTTGAAACAACCTCAAATAAATCTACTAGTGCCAACACAATCAAGAGAAATGGTAAATATAATATAAAAATATAAATAAAATGTTAAATATGCACTAAATGCATGTGTATTTATTTATATTTTTTTTTTATATTACTTTTTTTTTTTTTTTTCTTCTTTTTTTAGATAATACAAAAGATCAAAATTATTTTGATTTAATGTTTAATTAAATATTATTACTTTATTTTTTTAACTTTTCCATTTTTATTTTAAACAATTTTTTATAAAATATTTTTTCTTATTGTGTAATTATAAATAATCATAAAATATTGAATTTTTTTTTTTTTTTTTTTTTTTTTTTTTTTTTTTTTTTTTACCTGAATATTAATGTTTTTTTGTTAATACATAACTTGATTTTAAAAAAAAATAAACATTACTAAAAATTTTAATTTTAAGTGTAACTAAAAAATAGAAAAATATATAATAATAACAAATAACAGTAATATTTAAAATAAATTATGTTAATATTTGAAAATTGATAGCATACAACATTTAAATTTTTATGTTTTTGTGTATTTCTTATTTTTAGGAAATTTAATTAAATTTGGAGTTTTATCTTAATATATGCTTATGTTTTTATAATTGAAAATAATATGTAATTTTTTTTTTTTTTTTTTTTTTTCTTAATTAAAAATTAAAATAATTTTATATTTTTTTTTTTTTTTCCATATATATAGTATTAAGTTTTGAGTGAATATATTTATTTTTTTTAAATATGAATGCATTAATATTAGTAGGGGGATATGGTACACGTTTAAGACCGTTAACCTTAACAACTCCAAAACCTTTAATTAATTTTTGCAATAAACCAATTTTAGAACATCAAATTTTCAACTTAGCAAAATGTGGAATTAAAGAAATAATTTTAGCAATTGCTTATAAGCCTACAGATATAACAAATTTTGTAAAAGAATTAGAAAAAAAATATGATGTTAAAATTTATTATTCCATTGAAAATGAACCATTAGGAACAGGAGGACCAATTAAACTTGCAGAGAATTATTTAAATAAATATGATGATTTTTTTGTTTTCAATTCAGACATTATTTGTTCATTTCCTCTAAGGGAGATGATGAATTTTCATAAGGAAAATAACTCACAACTGACAATATTAGTAAAATTAAAAAATAACATAAAAAAGAAAAAAAAAAAAAAAAAAAAAAATAAAATAAAAATTTAAATAAAGGTTGGTAATTAATATTTTAAGATTTATATATATAAATATATATATATGCTTAAACATTTTTTTTTTTTTTTAAAGGTAAAAGAAGTTGAAGATCCAAGAGCATTTGGTGTCGTAATAACAGAAGGTAAAAAAATTACAAAATTTGAAGAAAAACCATTAGTTCCTAAATCAAGTTTAATAAATGCAGGAATATATATACTAAACAAAAACATTTTAAATTTAATTCCAAAAAAAAATACATCATTAGAAAAAGAAATATTTCCAAAGTTAGCTAATGAGCGTATTTTATACTTTTATAAACTAAATAAATTTTGGGCAGATATTGGTAAACCTTTAGATTTTTTAAGGGGTCAAGAATTATATTTAAAAGATTTAGAAGAAAAAAAAGATGATGAAAAAAGTTTGCATGATTATTTATGTATATGCTATAATATAAAAGAAGAAATTGAACCAAAAAATTGTGATAAAAAAAATTTATATATAACTTTTGAAAATATTGAAGAATTAAATAAATTTATTGGAAATAAAAATAATTTTTTTAATAATGTTTTACCTCATACAAAAATTGAAGGAAATGTATTGATATCATCAAAAACTGTAATTAAAAAAAATTGCGTGTTAGGAGATAATGTCGTACTAGGTGATAATGTAATAGTAGGAGAAGGTTGTCGAATAAAAAATTCATGTGTTATGAATAACTCTATTATAGAGTCCTACACCTATATTGAAAATTCTATAATTGGATCAAAGTCAAGTGTAGGCAAATGGTCACGTATTGAAGGCTTATGTGTTTTGGGAGAAAGCGTTATTTTAGAATCAGAAATTTTTTTGAATAATGCTTTTATTCTTCCATTTAAAAAGGTTAATGATTCTATTTATGAAAAAGGTGCAGTAATTATGTAAAATCTATAATAAATTATAATAGAAAATATAATATAAAAAAAAAAAAAAAAAAAAAAAAAAAAAAAAAAAAAAAATTTTTTTTTTTTTTTTTTTTTTTTTTTTTTATATTTTTTTTTCTATTATAATTTATTATAGATTTTACATAAT